TAACTTCAAAATAGCATATCTATTGATGTTATTTCAGAACAAAAAATGTCTGCAACAAAGTAGAAAACATTTTGTCTTTTGATATCTTCCTGTCAATTGCATATAATTCTTGACATAGGCACTGAAATGAAGGCACTTGTCATGACATGGTACTAAAAACTGCTCTGAGGGTTCTAAGGAATAAAAACTTGCCTGAGGGTTCAAAGGAATCATTGTATGGTACACAATGGCAGAACCATGATTCACCATGAGTCACTTCTGCCAGCTTGGTAGTACTTTGCAAACATTCACAGGGTGTCCTGTTGGATGTATTTTTCAAACAAAGTCACACATATAGGTTCCATTTTTTCAAATACAACGATGATGTTTTCCTTAGATGGTAGGTATGGCCTGATAATGTCCCCAAAATCACCAGCACTAGCACTAGCACCAGTGGTTTTCTTCTGCCGTTTAATTATGAATCTGTGCTCTGAAGGTGGGTTTGGCATGCAATGACGCCCATGACATGTGTTGATCCTTGTCCTGTGAGAGTGTCCTCATTATGGTCAAAATTATCTGCAATCCATTGACAAAATCCGCCACCTGTCTACGGAGGAGATTCCAGCCGGAAGGTCATCTATAGTTTCACTGGAAACAGCTGACTTTTCAAAATCCATAACATGGTCATAGGATACGGTGAGTCCAAGAGCAGATAGGACATTCAGTAGGATCTTTGACCTTGTAGTCTGATGAACAAAAGACCAGTAGAAAGAAGCAAGGGTGACAAATAAGGCTTTGAGCTGAAGCTTGCATAAGCACATGACAAAGTGAAACAATTTCCAGGTGTTGCGTTTCTGCGGCCGAAATTGAGTTTGGTTTTCCCATCATACTGTTTACAAAATTGAACAGGACTGTAGGAATGTCTTTTCAAGTTCAGTTATGTTTATGTCTTGCGGGGATGGATAAAACACATCTGATGATGTTTTCTATTGAAGTCCTGACATGATGTCCCAATCTTTGTGCCTGCTTGATCTCATCATCCAGGGTATTATCTTCCAAACTGTATGAATCCTGTAAGATAGATGATGCATTTTTCACAAATGTCACAACATTAGCTTTGCCATCTGTTTCTGATATTGTCAGATCTCCACCATAATATTCAAGAAGTCGACGCTTGAGATGTTTGACACTGTAAGGCTGAACATCATCAGGAAGATACAAACTCATTTTCTCCTGCAGATCATATATTGTGAACTGACTTTGAGGATTCCTTGACAAACAGTCACATAAAAGCTGGAATGCATTGCAGTTTACTGTGTCATTATTTTTAGTACTGGACTCTCCTCCACCTCTGCCTGTGAGAAACTGCTGCATACAGTGTCTGTGATACTTGGCTTCAACAGCCGGGAGATCACCTGCACAAATGATTCTTGCCTTAATTTGCAATGAATGTTCATCAAGTCTCTTTCGCAAGTTTCAAGTATTGTTTTTGAAGTTTGCTCTTTTTCTCAATTGAGCTTGCTATCTCAATACAGCTTATCGCAGAACATCTATCAGAGTGGCGTCTTAATCCATCAGTCAGTTTGCTCAGCACAAATTAAGCAGTGGGTTTCATAGTCACGTGAGGTTGAATGAGTCACATTTTTACCAACAGCATTTTGACATTTTTTTGAAGCAGTTTACCCTTTCCGACATTTCTCATGCAAAAATATAGTTTGTCCTGCATTAACCTTTCATGTAAATCATCTCTTCCTCGAAGCAGCAATTAGAGATGAAATTCCCTTTGTGAAAGCTTGACATTCCCTTTCTCCCGGTTACAGATCACACAAGATGTGTCTGTGCTTTCTGAAAAACAAGAATAAAGAATGAAATGTTTTGATGATACATCAGTTATATTTTATATTTTTAATAGCTTTCTTCTGATTTATTTAGTATGAGATACTTCAGAAAATGAAGATAAAATATCAAAAGAAAACTTCACTTGTGAATATCTACATACTGTTAAAAATAATTAAATTCATTTGTGAAAGGTCTCACCCTATTCAAATTGTACTTTTATTAATTTTTCAATTTTACTGCCTAAAATAACTGCTGAAAATCAGTGATTTCTGTGAGATTAAACTTTTTGGCAGGATTTTATTAAATATTCATTACAGATATTTGCTATGTTTACTTTACATTAGTTCAGAACAAAATATGATTTAAAATAAATCCCATTTTATATAAATATAAAAGGGATCAATTGCAACAACAACAAAATAATAAGGCTTTGAATACTGCTAATGTACATCTAAAAATGTTTATTTAAATTGTTTGAAAAATTATGTATATTTCTGAAGATTTCAGCATAGGGTCTTTGACACATGTAATTTGCCTGTGAGAAAGTAGTATATGACGCTTCCTCTAGCAGACGATGTAGTGAACATATTTTTGATAATAATACATTATTTTTCTATTATTTTGATGTTATTTAGTGAGCAGATCATATTATTATGTTTCTCACTTTAAAATAGCATCAACAAGATCATGCTTAGTTAAACAGTTCCAACTAGATTGAAAAAAATTGACATCCCATGTATATGTAGTCTAAATGCACATAGGACAACCCTTGAGTTTTATCATGCTAGAGTTATACCTAAAGACGAAATTTTCTGCATAT